ATGGTGGTTTTCAATTTACTATCATATGTCCTGGTGGTTTTCAAGTTACTAATTACATGGCCGGGTGGCTTTCAAGCTACTATTATTTGTCCTGGCGAAACGTCTAGCTATTTTTAATAGTTATTTAGGACTACGATTACCAAATATTATCTTCTATATATCGTATTTATCAGTCCGAGCGGCGTTTATTAATTTATATACTTAATGTATGTCCTGGTGGTTTTCAAGCTACTAATTGTATCTTCTGGTGAAATTTTGTCAAGAAATGTTTCATATACAATTTGTAAATAATATCATGGATACTTCTGATTTACACTGTACTAATAACATAGAATGGATATTTCTAATTTACACTGTACTAATGCACATATTGCGGTAATACTATTTTTTTCCATTTTCACGTCACTCTACACCACACCATCATATAATAACTTCAGTAAATCTTTACCTTTTTAGTAACCCTGGTTTCATTCTGTTGGAATATAATCATAAAGAATGGGGTCATACACATGATGTACTGATATTATTAGTTTTCTGTCTTACTATTATCAATTTTGTTTGTTTTGTTCACATACCGGGATAAAACGATACACATGATGTAGACTTTTGTTTTTTATTCGAATAACCATCAATCTTTTTATGATTTCGACTGGGTTACGTTACCAAAATTCATATATAATTATTTGTAAACAACTATACCAGAAGGCAGTTTCGGGGATATTTAAGAATATTGGTCTTGTCACTACCTATACAAAAGGATGGAAACCTGAGGAATATTTAACAGCGCCACCACCGACGGAAACTGATTGTCGTCACCTATTACGATCGCGTGTGCGCTTGTTTCCCGATACGAAGAAAAACAAATCAGCTAAATGACTTACAAATAAACATGTGTATGCCACATAATATTGCATTTTTGACACGCCACGTACCAGACTTCTTGTTGGCAAATGGTCGAACTAAGTAACCAACTCTTCCTTATTTTAGTGTAAAATGGAATGTATTTTTACGCGCCGTTTTAAAAAAATAAACAAAATTTTCAATGTAATTGGAAAAGCATAGTTACAACAAGATGTGCATAGCTCCCCTGTTCTGTCGTCTCATTTGAACAAAACATATACACACGCCCCATACAATTTGTAAAACTGCTTCTGATAAGTCTTGCAAGATAGAGACAGCATGTCGATTACAATGTGCCCGTGTTGTCGGGATTTAGTGTTGGGACGTTTGTCGTGTTTGTCAAATTGTTGAATCTAAACATGTCGGGATGCAAATTGTTATTTGATATTATACAATTGAATTAAAATAAGTAAATAGTGTATTAAATTGTAAAAGCACAGATTACAACAAGATGTGCATAGCTCGCTTGTCCAGTCGTGTCATTTGAACAAAACATACATACACAGTCCATACACTAATTCATATGGCTATAGTGGAGATAAGTAATATGACACGTTTTGCAGGATGAAGACAGCATGTGGATCAGCTGATCGTTTGTTATATCATGATATTTGACAAAATGGGAAAATAAAAATAAATACAGATCAGTGTTACTAAAATAGTAATGTTTCGCTTCATTTTTGTAATATTGTACGATGGTTAAATAGATAGGCAATTTATATAGGACTGTCCGACTGTTTTCAATCCGATCATGGAGTCGTTGGTTAGAGCTGTTGAAAATCAATTACAAACAACAAAATTAGGTATTGAGAATTCCATAATTTTGTTAATCAGATTGAACATCTGGAACCGTTCTGTCCTACTTTATTTGTTTAATGTCTTGGGATTACTTTGAATCTGTAATAATATAGCTGTAATATTAAATAAAATAAATAATGCTCTATATAAGAAATGCAAAGGAAAATGAGAAAATGCTTTATAGGATACATTTATTCACGAGATACCAAATATTAACGATATTATCCGGTGATCAATTTTAATTTATTTTTCTCTAAGTGGTCTTAGTTTGAATTGCATTATTATAAAAGGTTTTCTTGGTGTATTCAAGGAGTACTAATTACATGCTCTGATGACTACTATTAATTATTTGCCTTGGTGATTTTCAATATTCTAAGTATTTGCCCTGGTGGCATACAGGGATATTAATTGTAGTCCCTAGTGACTTTCAGAAGTCATAATTATATACCCTTGTGACTAATTCTAATCTTATACGGGTAGTAATTTATATGCCCTTCAGGGTAAAAATTACAGTACTTAAACTAGTATTATTTGCCATTGTGACTACCAGGGCAACTAGTTGTATGCTCTAGTGTATTTAAGGGGTACCATTTATATGTCCTGTTGACTTCCAGGGTACTATTCCTATGTCCTGGTGACTTCCAGACTTATATGAATGAATAATAGAGGTACACAATAAATGCCATGGGTACAGCGTGCTAATTGTTTGTCCTGGTGTCTTTAAATGCTATTGATTATATGTCTTGGTGATACTCAGGATTTTATTTGCTCTGGTGGCATATATGAATATTAATTATAGCCCAGATGTAATACTTATATACCCTAGTAAATTATATGACCTGAGTGCTTATATGAGCAGTAATTATATGCCCTTTGAGTATTTGTCTGTTTCTGATAAGTTGCAGCAGTTCTAATTGTGCTTATTGCTTTAGTAATTATTTACTCTGGCGACTAATTATTTGCCTTGGTGAGTACAATAACTAATTCAAAGCTTTGGTGACTTGCAGCAGTACTAATTATATATCCTGGAGATTGAGATGTATCATATCAAAAGAAATCCCTCAAACCAAACGAACTGCGTCCTTTGTGACGTCATTAAAATGCATAAATATTTCAAGCAGTGCTTAATTGAAGGCATTTAGGTAATGAACTGATCGACATATAATAATGTGACAATATTAAAAATGCATAATAACAACAATATTGGCACACCACAAGTTTGATTACTTTTTAGCTATTCTCAATTTTAATTACTGAAAGCCGACTCTACACACATTCAATGCAATGTGAACCCCCATCCTATCATGGTGGCATTTTGAATACCCTCAGTTATTAGCTACTGTGTTGCAGCTTCCATCAAACTAATGCATACTATACTTGTGTGTGCCGGGAATGAGTGCGGGGACGTTTGTCATGTTTGTCAACTAGTTGAATCAAAATATGACACAAATTGCCAGAACACAGATTCGTATTAGGACAAAATTTGCATAGCACACATGTGTGCTGTGTCGTGTCATTTGAACAAATCATATCTACACAGTCCATTCTAATCGGTGAAAAAAAATAACAAAGCTTCCATTGAGTTAACGAATTGGTACGTCTGTCAGAAGTAGGACAATATGTTGGCCACGCATCATTTGTTATATCGTGATATTCCAACAAAGCAGACACAGCAAACACAAACACCCCTTTACTGACGAAAACAAAGAATTTACCAAAACAGTAGCACAGTGGTTAGCGGGTTCATCCCGGCGGGGCTCAACCCGCATCAAGGAGGCTGAGGGTTAATTTTTCAGCAATATCAAATAAAGTACATAGTGTCTAATAGTGTCGGTCCCGTGTGCTCTTCCTATCTACAGTGGACGTTGAATAAAGCACAGATCGAAAAACAAATCGGGTGATTATGGTTCCTTCTTTCATGTTAATTAACTCTGTCGGTACTTGGGCTTCATGATCAGTGATTTGTTCTTTGTAAGTTTATCTGAGTAGCAAATAACAAATTAAAATAGAAATTAATAAAATATTATTGACGTCGCATTCGAACGCTTTTGTTTGTTCACATCGAAATCAGAGCAAAGGAACTACAATACCGCGTGACGAAAATATACCCAGTCACCAAGCTACGTCTCAATTACGATACTACTTCAGTTTATATTCAAATGCAGTAGTTAAAAATGTTAAAATGGTGATAGCAATTATATTTAACTATGTTTCAAATATATTTACGTTTTGTCTACACAATATAAACAAAAGAAAAAAATCTAAATCATTTCAGAGCTAATAAGCTAGATCAGTTATCTGGATTAGTAACAACAGATAAATCGGTAACATATGTTCACAATATCCATGTTGCCTATTACGATTTGAAAATTAAAATGATTATTTCTCTCAATTTTTTCAACATATCTGCCCAAACTGTAATTAATAATAGCAATTAGCATTACTAATTGCAAAATAAATCATTATGGTAGTGAAATATGATATAAACCACTAAAGCCAGTTATTCAGTATGCAATTACCAATATGGTATACCGGAACTACTGGGATTATGCAAATTACACACCAATAAAAATGCATGCAGGTGGTGTATCTGAACATAATAGACTGCATCTCTAAAATAGTAATATCTACTGGGTTGACGTGTATTGCAAATCATACGGCGACGAAGACGTCTTTCAACGATAACAAGAATGTTGTGCATACTGATGATACTCACTATTGCCAGTTTTACTGGAGCAGTCTCGACAGAGGTAAGTTAACACACCACAAATATGTCTATTTTTTAATTTGATTAAATGTACTAACTACCCCGGCGCTTCGAACAGTAATAAAAAATCACAGTTAAAAATAACACTGTTCACTTTTTAAAGGGAGCGTTCTCTCAAGGAAAATTGAAATTGCGAAATATATTATTTCAAGAGTGAAAATATAAAAATGAACTTGTGCGATTTATAATCACGGATATTAACAGAACCCCACAACCCTATCTACGGTTTTGGAATGAGTGGCATTGTACACCGCAAACTTGCCAGAGCTTGGTTGTATTTTTTGGTTTTACCTCAAATCAAACATGTTTGTTCCACCCCATTTTGTTTTGATTAGACATTAATAATATGTTTGAATATAACTTTTATTTTAAACAATTAAATATATTTATATTATGTAATTGCGGCTATGATGTTTACATTTTTAAAACTTGAATACTAATGGGATTATGAACCTTCATGTCCGACTTACTGCATACGATGTATGTGAAATATCAGCCTGCAATTTACACTACTTATCAACACACAGTGCCAAATATTGTGTTTAGTTTTGTTCCTTCTTTCTAAAACGTTACATACTGCTAGTCTATAGTAATGATAAAGAATACGAGCTCATGATATCATTAGGAACTTCTATTACTGTTTTTTTTTTCGCAGAGATCGGTTGAGAAGCGAGCAAGTGAGTATAAATTTGGATAATAACTTAGATAGCTAAATTAATTAATTAATTATTCGTTCTTATACCCCATAAATCTGTCATGTGCTACCAATCCTAACTACATTGACTTTTATAGTGTCCAACCTCATATTAGTACAACCTTCACCCTTCAACCCTTAATGCAAGGCTTGGTATTTCGCAGTTAAAACAAAATTAATATTTCAATTTATGTTTACATTGAATATTTTTCGAGTTTTTGAAGATATTGACAAGTAAGGGTGAAAAGGTTTGGCTTATTGTATTACATATACCCATCCGCCATTTGACCGAACAAAAATAGTCATTCACCCATGACATTATGAAAGATGATAATGTTTATTTCGTATAGCTTACAACCCTATGGGCATATTTCAAATTAGAATATTCATTAATTATAAATATACAGCACAATTAATTTATAAATTTCACGGGAGAGACATGTTTAAAACTGTTCGCATGTTATTCACTTCAGTATAATCTGTCTAGAGGAAAAGTGAGTGCCCTAACGTGCCTACATCTTTTCCACATTTGGTCATATAGCCGGAGACTTATTTCCACATACGGTTTTAAACGGCAATAACAGTTTATAATAACACAATTCGCTATAGAAAGTTTAAAAGCCAGTTAGTAAATATTAGTAATATACTATTTGAACAATAATTATGACTAATATAAATATTTCTTATTTTTTTTATTTTAAGCGGCATATCAACTCGTATCGACTGAAGTGGATTGGTACAATGCTAAAGCTGCTTGTGAGACCCAGAACTCAAAGCTTGCAGAGATTCGCTCACAGGCAGATCTAGATGCAGCAATACAAGCGACAACAGGATATTCACGTGGGATATGACTAATATATTTCACAATGATGTGTCAATCGATTATTCTTTTCATTATAGTTAATATGATTGGTATTTATCACTGATTATTTGTGTTTGATTATGTCCAAACAGGTCCTTTTTGGATTGGTGTTATCGATCCACAAGAAGACAACACCTTTGAGTATGCAACTGGTGGAGCCCTGACTTTCAGTAACTGGATGTCAAATGCTCCGTTCGTCTATAACCAGGTCTCAAGTGTAGTGTAAGTGTATTCATTTGTATTCAATATAAGGACAAATTACATTAAATGTGTACTAGTGTGACAATGAATATTATGATATGAAATACTTACAGAGTTTACTAAAATGTTTTACGCATTTATTCTTGACATTGCAATAATCAATGTTTTAAAACAAATTTGCCATCTAGCTGTGACATGTAACATGTATGCTCGACATTCAGCTGTGACATATGACAGTGGATCGGTAGATGTGACATGTAACATTAGATTGGTGACTGTGACATGTAATATGTATACTCGACAGGCAGCTGTGACATGTGACATTGAATCGGTTGCTACTACATGTGACATGTATCTTCGACATTCAGCTGTGACATGTGACATTAAATCCGTAGCTGCGACATGTGACATTAGATCGGTGGCTGTGACATGTGACATGTATCTTCGACATTCAGCTGTGACATATGGCATTAGATCGGTAGCTGTGACATGTAACATGTAATATATACACTTTTTGACCTTGTCGGCAAAAGTTAATCATATAACTACCGACTACATAATACTGATCAATATACAGCAAACTGTATTAGTGGGCAAACAGTTGGGAGATGAATCTGACAATATATTACCATAATACATAATTTGTATGGAATGGTTGATAATTTTTTTGGAGTGATGAGACAATTACTCGGGTGAATCTAAATAACTAATCAGCTAATTCCTTACAGAATGTACCCAGGTTCGGGTGAATGGGAAAATGTTGGAACTTATTATACCTTTGGGTACCTGTGTGTGTCTGGTAAGTGTATTGCTTTATAATTTACTATGTTACAATTTTACACAAGAGGTGTGAAAGTTGCTTTCATCACATGATTAGTTCACAACGCAAATGGCCTCCAAGATTGTGTTGAAAGCTAACCCGACACTTGTTATTGTCCCTCGTGTTCGTTTCTTTGTCGTCATTGCTTCCACATTTTGATTAATCACCAACAATGGTATTGGACGTTGAACAATTTAAAACACGTATGATAGTTCTCTAGTTCTAATTAACAAGATATTAAAATCTATTTTGATGTAAGATAAACACTTTACTTTCTGCATAAAGTATGGTGTTAGTATAAGCTGAACAATATTTATATTACATATAATATTTTATTTTTTGACTTTTGATATGATAGCATATTAATTTCTCTGGTGATATAATATCATTTTATTCCGATATAACAAAATACTACTTATGGGATAAAACTAGTATCGTGTTTTTTATCACTCTTAACAAGATGTTGACGGTCATTTTTGTTGGTACCAACTGAAGAACATTTAAATTACCTACAATATTTGACCTTTTTCTAGTACTTGGATTGTTATTTTATCTAATTACCGGACATAACGCAATTCATTCAAGATGGAAAATATGGTCTGAGTAATATTTTCTGAATAATACAATCAAAATTAAATGTTTCTGTTTCGAAATTATTTATGCATTAAACCCTATTCTGTAATATAAACCCCATTTTACGTGTTTTACAGACACAGGTCCAGGTGTATCAGGTGATCCACATATGACAACATTCGACGGTCGTCCATTTAGTTTTCAAGGTATATGTTGGTATACTCTGTTTAAAGACTGCTCGTCATCAAATCCTGATTTTGAAGTAACAGCTGAATTTGAGCCCAGGGAGGACAGTAGTATTCAACAAGTCAGAACGCGAACTGTTTCGGTTAATGTAACTGTTGGAGGTGACTTTGTTATTATTAATCGATTGGATGTCGTTGCGGTAAGTGTTTACAATATTTTTGAAAAAAAACTTCTGAGTTCGAGTTCAGGATTCTCTTGGATGCAATTTTTCTCACGAACTATGCACAAGTGAAAGCCTTTAAAGAGCTTAAAGTGTCTGGTTTTCTCCAAAACACATAAGACGGCAGTGCAACTTTAATGTTTGAAAGATTTCTGAATATTAAAAGCAGTTCATGAAATATAATATTTGTATCCTTTAGGGTAGAGCTGACGAACATATGACTGAAGCAAGACCAATACACGTTCACAAGGACGATAAAACAATCACACTGACCTTCACCTCCAAGGATACCACATTCACTCTGCACTGGACATTGAAGAAGCACAGCTTACGAGTATCTATCGATGGATCTGACTACCGTGGTCATCTCTGTGGTCTACTGGGTGATGATGATGGTAACTCTCGTAACGACTTCTTAACACCTGATGGTGATGTAGTCTATGATGCCACTGAGTTTGGAAGAAGCTGGGAAGTAGAGGGAAAAAAGTAAGTTAGTTGACCAATTATAAAAGAGACTGAGTTTAAAAAACTCATGTCGAGACCAAGTTCACATGTGTTTTGCAACAGCAGTCTAACTATGTGCTTTGACACACATGTGATCACCTTATCGGTGTACATTTTAAACAATTGTAGGACTACTTGATATTCTAAAATATTACATAATACACATAATTACGCCTAGTGATTGAAATTAATATTTTATTTTTATTTTTTTAGATGTGACTAACAGTTTCGTCGTATAAAAGAAGCTGACCATTTAACGTTGACAATTAAAGGTGTTGATATGGGTACAAGTGTGTTTTGTGTAATTTAGTTGTGCAGCACGATGGACAATTTCTTTAAACTTTAACAAAATAGCATATACTTTTGAAACTGCTTAAATTGCAAAATTTCTTATGAATTATCACTGTGTCAGTGTGTTGTATTGACCCATGTGAAATGTTTATTGGGAACAAGCAAGCTGAGAGTCTCGCCATCATCACGTCCACCGTCCCCCGACATATGTAACCATGGTACTTATAATATGGGATGTAATGACGAGATCGAGTTGAACACCATTTCAGTGGTCGTTCGCATCTAAGTTGTAATATTACGTTTAATTCAGAAAGTAACAACGCAAGCAACTTTTCCATTTTCATTAATGGATACGCGACAAGAAAGTGTGGGTTATCGGATATGATCCCACACTTTTGTCTAAAGTCTGTAAATCGCATTAGCACGAACAAATTTACAGACTATAACTAAGCTGTAGTATTGCATTAATAATGTATGTTATTTGTATGCATTAACAACTTGTTCTTGAAAATTAGAAGGAATTTCGAAACTTTCCATTAGTTAAAAAAATGCCACGATTTTCTACTATAAATGATTGACATCACAGAAGAAAAAATGCAGAAATGTTACGAAATATTTATTCACATTTTCGAAGTTTTAACTATGGGACTTGTTAATATGATATCACAGATAACAATCCCGAATGAAACTACCAACTTTGCAATCGCTTTTCACAACTTTGTAAGCAGTTTGTTGTCGACTTTTCGGTGACTGTTATGATAATCTTCTTATATATGAGGCATTCTCGGAATATTTATTTAATGTTTTCGACATTTAACTGCGGGGTTGTCGTGATGATGACTTGGGTTATATATACAAGCAGCTCCTCCAACATTTCTTTCGTTTTTTCCAACTTTGCACGCTGTTTTCTAACATTTTACAGTCAACTCAAGTGAACATTTATCAGCTGCTTTCAACTGGCTTTTATTTGTTGACTTTACAACTGCGCGTTTCTATATGC